TCAACTAGTCGTAAAAAGTAGAAGGTATGCCTACAGTCCGTCTCGCTTTGTTGTGTCTCCAGTTTCAAGGTGTTACCCCTAAGGCTTGTGTTGAGGCTAAGCTTACGTAAGTGCCGTAGCGACAAATAAATGCCCGAAAACAGTAATTCTGTGAGTCTCCGACATTTGAGGCTGACAGTATTAGTTTATGTGGACTCATCTAGCTGAAGGTGCTCGGTCACGCATCCGCACCAGGTTACGAGTGGGTACACTGTGCTATGCATCTCCAACAACCGCTAGTAAGGTTAGAATAATCACTTTCCGAAGTGTCGATGGTCTATCACATATACCTTTGAATATTTTCGCTTCTGACCTCTGATTTCATTGACTTGGTACATTACGATTATAGGTGTCACTGGTTAAGACGTCAAACTCCGAGTACTTGTGGCAGCTTTAGTGCTTAAGGGAATGCCTGGATGTGTTTGGGATTCAGTAAGTCATTTGAAGGTCAACTCTAAGACGTCTGTATTTCGATAGGTAAGGGTCCAGTGATTGGAGTTGCTCTTCATAAGGCTTGTATCTGAGTCCTCAAACTGATTTCATGGCTCCCTTTTAAAACACTTTTGGAGTGAATAAGTAAACATCATATTTCCATATTCAAAATGAGCTAGAACAAAAATGTCAAAGATTAAGTGGAACATTCTTCCAAACTGGCCAAAAATGCACCACAACGGTATCAGTAAAAGGTTTTCTCGAGAGGTATTTTTGCCGCAGTTAGCGTAAGACATCAGATCATAGGGCACCAACACTCTCAGATCCTTTTTGAACTTGAGATTTCTTTAGAGGCGAGTCACCTAAGCTGTATTCATAGACTGCAACATGTCTAGGATGGACAACTTTAAAATTTGAAATGCTGAAAGTAAGCCTGTTGTTGCCCCCTGAACTCGTAAGCCGAGTCAGATCCCCCTGAAGTGCCGGCTTAGGATTTTGGTTGCAAACTTCCTTCCAGAGATTCATATCATTAACATAAAGTAATGAACCAGATAATTCCTGTTGTGGAAATTTGTTTATATACATTAAAAAAAGAAGGGGTGGTGGAAATAAACTCCGGGGGCCCCCATTAGTCTATTTTATAGCCTGATAGAAGATTAGATTAAACCTGACCTTAAAAATTCTCTTATTTAGATGGGAAGTAGGTCCACCAATCGATGGTGATTTTACACCTAATCGTTTGGGATTATTGATAAGAGATATGTGATTGACCCCATTAAAAGCTTTGGTAGGTCAATGTTTATGTCGGCAACCTTCCCCTTGCGTTCATGGATGGTTATCCATCTGTCCGCCGCGGTCAGCGGGTTGGTTATGAAAGAGCGGTCTTTTCTGGAATCGGAGATAAATGAACTTTGTGGATAGCGAGTAGTCTCGTAGACAGTCGCATATCAGGGACCCTATAATATTTGGGGTTAGTGAGAGACGCGCTACCGGCATGTAGTATGAAGGTTCACTGTGTCAACATCCTTTAAATATTGGTGTGATGAGAGCCAGACTCCAATTTTCTGGCACATTGCCAGAAAATGTGCCACACTCTAACGAATGTGAGAACATCACACTAAACGGTGTTTTCGAGATTGAAGCTGCTTCCCTCCCTGCCTCCCTCCATATCCGGGTCGATAGAAGTGTCATTGTTTTAGTGCTGTAGTTTCCGATACACCAAGCCAACGCTCAGGTTCACTTTTAAGAGTCCAGTGCAGTTATAAGTCAAGCTTTCATCACTATAGTTTGTGTGTGTCGGTTGAAATGTCCGAGAGTACTGCTCACCCAGTAGGTCGGCAACGTTACTGCCGTTGGTTAGGACATTTAAACCTAGCGAACTGGAAACGCCTGTTTTGGCCTATCGAGAAGAGGCTGTGTGACGAAATAAGCCTTGTGGATTGGAGACAAGTTTATTGATTAGCTTTATTCAGTACCTAAATCTGTCTGTTGAGACTAGAATTTATGAACGACCTCAGGTAGATGGTCTTGATGGAGTTTTGTTTTCTGAGCTGGATGGTTCGGTTTTGAAGCATTCATTGTGACTTCACCTCTACCTGAAGTTTGTTCGGAAGAACGATGAAAGCTCCACGACCAAACTATATGTTAGGATAGTCGGAAAAATATACCAATAATTATCGTGTTAAGTCTATGGTGGCCTTGGACCTTAAATGTACATTTCCTATTGGTCGATGTTTATTTCACTTGTTAAATATTGTGTAAATGTTGTTTTCTATTTTACGGTACGATGTGGTTTGTTTGTTTGGTATATAAATAGAGTATGTCTGAAATACAATGATTCATAACTCAGAGGCTGTGACTTGTGTTCTTGACTCAACTGGCTAGGACAGGCAGCGAAGCAGGGCCAATCAGGGCACTAGGTCGTCCTTACGTGTTTACGTGTCACTGTCACAGAAGCGGTCGATAAATACGCTGCTTATCATAACCTGCAGTCACCCGTTACAACACTATACAGCTCAGAAAACAAAATTCCATCAAAAAGATTAAAGTCTCCTAGAATCAGGATATGAGTGTATCCGAGACGAGTAGAGCAGGGTTATCTTTGCAGCATACGATTTTCAAACTCGGTGTCAGCAATGGAACTCCTGCAGGTAACTCCAACTAGACACCTCGAGGTGTTAGACAACCTTATTGAGTGTCATACAGATTTATCATGGCTGATAAACTCTCTAGTGTACACTAGATGTGCTACCAAGCAAGACTGCAGACACAGAGGCAGTTCGCTCTCATTCCTGTTTTCCTGTTGTTGTGAAACAAAGTCATGCCGTATATTACTAGCTTCTGGTTCGTAATTTTAGAAGAGACCCATGTTTCAGATATTCCTCTCAGATGAATATTATTAACATTAAATATTTCACACAACACATCCGTTTTATTCGGTAATCCTGTATTGTTCATATACAAGCGGTTCATACTTTCAATTTGAATATCTTAGATCTTCTCGTTTTGTTGTCTGAATGAGCCTTATGTGGATGAATTGCAACCTACCTATACAGGGATTTCTGTGTTGGGAACCCCTATCCCTTCGTTTTTCCCATGATTTTGACAGTCCACAAGCGTAATAGTCAGATCCAGTTTGCTTTTGTGTCCGATCCTGGTATCAAGTGAACTATCCGGATGCATGTGGACTCCAGTTGGCAACCGTCTGTTGGCATGAAATGAGAGTTGAGGCCTGGGGAGATGTGAAGGTTATCCTCATTAGTCCTGGTCTAATATACTGGTCTTCCTTGATTGTCAACAACATTTGTTGAGTCAATATGTTCTTAAGCCTCAAGATGTCCTTGAGGAATTTCCACTCCAGAATATCAGAGTCTGCGTAGTCGAGGTCCGTTTTCCCCCCAAACACTTTGCACGATGATATCTATTCTGCAATACAACGGGTTGTGAGGTTCCCTGGAGATGTTCCCGATGAGTGTCTTCAGAATATGGTATATCAAGTAGTATTTTCACATCGCCGTCTGAGTTCGGCTGATGATTAGCAAGCAGAACATCTTCTACGTCGGCAGTGCTGGCAAACAGTACACGGAGTCTTGAGTGGTTTCGGTGCTTGGAGTCTTTACCCTGACTGAGCCGTGTGGCCGTCAATGGCTCAATTTTGGGAAGTGTGAGCTTCCTGTTGAAATCTACCCAGAGCATCCAGTAAGCAGGACAAAAGCGACAGACAATTTATAGTTTATCGAAAAGTAAAGGCGTGAACCTCAAGAGAACAAACAAATTATCAGATATTTGATACGGCTGATAAATAATGGGTCACGAAAACACCAAGAATTCCTAACCAAACTATCCATCAGACCGAAGAACTTCAATATTATACGACAGATCACTTATCATTGGACATTCTACAAGATATCATAGAGGACAAAGATTCAGGTGGTTCAAATAGTTCCGGACAGAATAGAAAATGCTTTCGCTTAACGGGCTATCGCACCTAGTAGCACTCGACCACCAATGCCTCCATGTGGGGACCCGAATGTGTTTAATGACAAAAAAGAAAGAAGGAATATTAGTAATCATAGTCAGACACTGTCCTTAGTCCCTTTGGATATGTCAAGTTGCCTGTTAAAGGACTCCTGAAAATTTGTTTGGGCTAGCTCAGCCGTTTGCGAGATCCGGAATTCGACTATTGGTAAAGATTTAGTATACCTACAGTGCATTATTCTGTTGTGTTTCCAATATCTTTGTGTTACCCCAAAGAGTTGTGTTGGGACTGAGATTAAGTAAGTATTTAATGGTGTGTCCAGAAGTGTTTAGGATGTCTATATTCTGATGAGTAAAGGTTCAGTGATTGGAGGCGCTTTTCATAGGACTTATATTTTAGTCGTCAAACTGATTTCATGACTCACTTTTGAATACGTCCCAGTGTATTCTTATTCTTTGGGAATGAGTGAGTAAATATTATGTTTTCATACTCAAAATGATTCCGATCACTGTTATTGAAGATTAGGTGGAACGTGCTTCCGTCAGATGGGCTGCAAAGGCACATGTGCACTGAAGACAAATATATGGTATTATACGGAATTACAGTGCGAATTATTTTGAAAAATTTATTCACCACTGAGCTTATCTTCCGAAATGACTAACGATATCACATTTTCCACCGTCTGAAAGGACCACAGATTGTGACACTCAATGTTTAATTTCATTGACTTTCTGCAAGTAGCAAACAAAACTTCTTATTATTGTATAGAACCATCAAGCCTTTCAGGTATATGTTTATTATACAATTTCAACATTCGCTCAACAGAAGCCACAGCATAAACTTAGCAATAACGAAATATAAAATTGGTTTTCATTTTTGGTTATCAAGATTTCACATAGTTTCATTGACTGTCGTAACCCCAAAGCATAAACATTTAGGGAGGCGATAATCCCACGAACATAGCTAGACACTTACTTCTTAATGCTTTCAATTTATACTAAGTTCGTTAGCTTGCAAAACCTGTAACGCGATAACTTATACTTGACGTAATATGGTCTCGAATTCAAGGTAGTTTATAATTCCATGGGAAAATAGAGCTGAAAAACAGTGAGAACTGAGGAGACCCTTAAGTATGTATCCGTGTTAGTTAATATTTAAGGCGAATACTAAAATTTGGAGATATTCTTGGTCGGTACATCAACAACATTTTTTCACTAATTTATGGTAATAACACAGTGATAATTGTGCTGAACCAATGAAAATATCGATATTCACCAAAGTGAACACTCATGAAGCAGGGGGTATCGGCCTTGTGACGTCAGAAGAATATCGGCTTTCACCATGCGGCTTCATAATTTTTTTGGAAGACCTTCAACTCCCAAACTCGAGTGTAAATGGTGCAATTTGTTTATTCTAGTTAGCGTGAGGTTGAGGACCTGATGCTGAACCCTCCTTCTTCATTCGGGCTTGGAACTGGCAGTAAGCCTAGGATTGCTACAAGAGTGGTTACTCATGAAGCAAATGCTATTTATTTCATGCAATTGGTTCCCTTTATGAATTTAAATAGAGCAAGAACAAACATTGATGCAGAATAGTATGAATTCATATTATTTCGAGGTTTCTCGTCAGCTGCTTACAAACCAAAAATTGTGATAGAATTTTTACATGGAGATAGTGTGAAACAATTGACAGAAATGAGTGTAAATAACGTGATTACAATAATAACTATATATATATGCTAGAAACAGGTCAGAGGTCAAAAGAGGGGAGTTAATCCAGGGTGGGTGGTGTAATAATTTAGTGAAGTTCATAAATTGTGTGATAATTGTAGAGATTAATGGAATTAAATAATGATAAGGTAGATTACGTAGTAATAATTAAATAGGGTTTGTAAAGTTAAGATGATTTAAGAGGATCAGGTGACGGAAATGTTTGAATAAAATTTATTTTAAGAATCAGGTAATAGGGGGGGGAGTATAAATTATCTTAGAATAAGTAAATGAATAAAATAACCAAAACACAAAACAAACAGAAACAAAAAGATTACCAGGGTAGTGATAAGTTTATTAAAGTCTCTTTTTGGATGCATAAGTCCGGTTTCAGTTTCTTAATTGCAATGGCTTCAGCAAAGCGGAGAGTGGTAGTAGTTCTTTGTCTATTGATTATTTTAAACGCATGCATAATATCGACGGTATGCCCGGTGTCAAGTAGATGCCGAGCTATTGCACTGTTAAAAGCTTTAGTCCCTCGCAGCGTCAAGTTCTTCGGAATATGCTCAGAAATGCGAACCTGTACTCTTCTCTCAGTTCTTCCAATGTATGTGCTACGGCACGTACATGTGAATTGGTAAATGCAGTTGGAGCAACTGAGGAGAGAGGACTTGTCGATTTTCGTTTGTTTCAGTGAGCAGTATGTTTTCCATAACGTAGTCAGTTTGGCTGCCGGGTAGGTCACTTTTAAAGCGGAATTAATTCTGTGATTGATAATTCCGGCGACTTCATCTCCTTTGAAGCGTAAGGATAGGAAGCAGGTTTTCTTTTCAACTGTATCATGCTTAATCGGAGGGTTTGTATTAGCATATTTGTGGATGAATTTATCCGGATATGCATTTTCACGTAGGCATTTGGTGATTGTAGTAATTTCTTCTTCGAGACATTCTTTTGAGCAGATTTTTTGTGCGCGGTCAAAAAGGTTTCGCACAATACCCTTTTTATAACTCATTGGACAGAAGCTGTTAAAGTTGAGATAAACTCCGCTCCAAGTATTTTTGCGGTGAATGTGTCTTTGTAGTAGTTTAATCTTTAATAATTAGTTTAATCTTTGATAATTATAAATTAAATGTAAACATTTGCGTCTAATGAAAAACTATTGTCTCCAGCTAAAAACATGTTATTATTGACCGTTACGCTCAAAAATAATTTTCTTAATCGCAACCAGTAACATAGAACTAATAACTGAAGCGCGGAAAACACATCAGTTCGACCTTGTCTGGGTCGGTCCTTTGGTTCAGTGGACAGTAAGTTGCTGACATTGTAAGATAATTGTTTATTAGGCACGAAATTTTTTTGTGTGTAAATCTTGATATAAAATGTTTTTTGTTTCTTGGTTTTCCGGTATTTTGTGTTTTTTAAGACACATAAATATTTATGTATTAAACAAGTACAAAATAATCGTTAGTCTTCAGTCTTCAGTAATAAGGATAGGAGGTCTGTCGACCTATATTAATCCTTGCAGTTTGTAATACTGTGGAGGTCCAATCTCGTTTTGAATATATTAACAGACGGTGCTGATATTACGTGTTCCGGTAGAGAATTCCAGTAATTCACTACTCGGTGCGAGAAACGGAACTCCAGACGTAAACGGTTTGATCTAGGTTTTCGAACTTCCTTCGAATGTCCTCTCAAATGATCGGTTCTAGACGGAAGCAAAAGATAAGACATGTTAATACCAAGGTCATCGTTCAGTATACGATAAGCCAATATTAGATCACCCCGTACTCTACGGTAAGATAACGGAAATAAGTTAAGGTGTCTCAGTCTGTCTTCATAAGATAGGCCAGCTAGACCTTGTACCGTCTTAGTAGCTCGTCGTTGGACTCTTTCTAGCATATCTGCTTCATATATGAAACAAGGACTCGCTGCTTGAATCCCGTATTCTAAATGTGGTCGCACATAAATCGGGTATAGTAATCCAAACATTTCATCATCTAAATATTGAAAAGACCTACGAATTGACCATAATACCCTATAGCCTTTTGCAGCAGCAGCCTTACAGTGACTAGTCGTTTTGAGATCATTGCTTAATATAACTCCTGAGTCTTTATAGTTTCTTGCTTTGGGTAGCACGAATTCACGTAGTGTATAGTCATACGATTCATCAGAGTTATTTAACTGCATCACCACACTCTTATTAGGATTTACTTCTAGTGACCACCTGTCTAACCATGCCACCAATGAGCTAAGATCGTCCTGTAATACTATTCTATCCGACATACTATGTATGGGTCTCCAAATCTTTATGTCATCGGCGAAGAGTAGAACGGATGATTTTGCTACAGTTGGCAATTCATTTACATAAAGTAGAAAGAGAAGAGGACCTAGGATTGTGCCTTGGGGAACCCCACTTTTTACAGGTACCCACGAGGAGAGAGCCCCATTAACCCTTACCCTTTGTCTCCTGTCATGGAGAAAGTTACTTATCCAATCGACGACTGTGTTATGGATTCCAAAACGTTTCAGTTTGAATTTAAGACCAGAGTGTGAAACCTTATCAAAGGCTTTACCTAGATCTATGAAAATTACATCCACAGGAGCATTCCGATCCTTTGCCGCAGCCCACTCTTCTCGTGCAATGAGAAGATTTGTCAAGCAAGATAGGCCTTTCCGAAAACCATGTTGTGCCCTGGAGAAAAGATTTTGCCCTTCAACATAGTTTATAACAGCTATCCGAATGATTTTCTCCATCAGTTTCACAACTGCACTAGTTAAGCTAACGGGTCTATAGTTACTAACTAAATCCCTACTCCCAGCCTTATATACCGGACTTATTATGGCGTCTTTCCAGTCTCTAGGAAGTCTGGACTGTCTCAGAGACATGTCGAATAGTATCGCTAATGGTTCAGCAATTTCATCTGATATGGCTTTCATAATCCTAGAATGAATATCATCGGGACCACTGGACTTATCAGGTTTGAGATGCTGAAGTAGCCTTAAAACAGTATCTTTCTCAATGACTACAGGATCCATCAGCGAGCCGTCACGGTCACGATGAATCATTGGTCGTTCCTCATTACCGATAGAAAACACTTTACTAAAATATTCCGATAAAGCTTCAGCTTTTTCGGCATCATTCTCTGCTAAGATTAACGGATTGTCTCGTATCAAAAGTGATGGAATTCCATCGCTTCTCTTAGTTCGCCTTTTTATATACGAGAATAACCGTTTCGGACTATATCTAGAATCCCTAACCAATTGTTTTTCGTATGAATGTCTAGTCTTGCTTATTAACGCTTTACAGGCATTCCTAATCTTACAATAACTGGATCTGTATTGTTCTAAGCCAGTAGAGATGAACATATTCCAGTGATTCTTCCTTTTTCTAAGGAGTTTCCTGACCGTTTTAGTTATCCATGGTGGACTATTATTCGGTCTTCGCGGTACCAGGTATGGTATGAACGGGGACGTAACTAGTCTAAATTTACCTTTAAATACAGACCATGCTTCTTCAACTGATATGCTAGTATCTACTAACCAATCTGTCTTAGCAGCGCATTCCTGAATGGCTGATATGTTAGCTTTCCATACATTTGGGCGCGGTGTAACCTGATCGTATAACATGTCCCTAGTTCTAAACGCGAATGACAAAACAGCGTGATCGCTGTTTACTAACGGTGGAAGAATATTTAAGTCGACAATATCCTCAGTCTCATGAGTGATTACCAAATCCAGCAGAGAAGAACCCTGGTTAACACCAAAACGTGTGGGTTGGGATACATGCTGCACTAGTGCATGCTCCATTATTGTTATCAGTAACCTACTATCAAAGGAGTTTATAGATCCTTCTGTGGTCATATCAGTCCAACTAATATCAGGTGCGTTAAAGTCTCCTATTATCAAGCACCTGGTATTATCACTCCAAAGATGAATGTGCTCTAAAACAAAGTCATCAGCTGAGCAGATTGGGCTCCGATAGATGACACCTAGCATAAATGTACTACATCCTATAGCCAACTTACAGCTAATGACTTCACAAGTGCCGCTTTCATGGGATTCGCTAGTAGAGGAGCGGATATTTATGACATTGGCTATATATAACAGGACGCCGCCTCCTTTTCTACATCTATGTCTATCACTCCTGATGCAATGGTATCCGGATAATTCTGGAGTAATGTCTAAGTCATGGACTAACCAAGTTTCTGTCACTGCTACTATGAGTGGCCTTAACCTGTCTACTAGTGCTTCTAGTTCATAGAACTTATTTCGTAAACTGCGAGCGTTGGCATATAAAACTCCTAAGTAGAACAGCCTATCCACACAGGCCTTGGTAGCATTCGCTTCCAAGACCTGACTATCCGAAAACCCACTAGTCGGAGATTTTCCTCGCCATTTTGCCGACGGGTTTCAAGTTCAGCTAGAGCTTTCTTCCTTTTTATTCTACCTTCGAGAGACATGTCAGGTCTAACTCGGATGTCAGAATTGTCGTGACAACGAGCGCTACTTAACAAGAGATCCCGTTGCTTCTCCGATCCTAGGATTACCTTAAGGGTCTGCATGGACGGAGTTCAACATTGTCCTCGGTCCTCTTGCCTATTCCTACCAATCTTTTGACCTGAACTCTTTTGGAGTTATCTGGTAAAATACTACGAATGTATTCTCCTAGCTTTTCTAAGTCATGCGCGTGTCTAATTTTCGGATCAGGGTCGTTTGAATCCCGCAATTTGCTCACAATAATATTCGATGTTATTAGATTTTTCTCCTCAGTCACGCCAGGATGAGTTTCACTCTTACCTTCAGATCTTGGTAGTGCAGTTTGTGGCTCACAATTTGAATCCACCAGTGAGTTACTAACTACGTGTGTACTACTTACAGCTTTTTTCTTTTCGTTTCGTTTCCTACGTACCTTATTCAATTTTTCATCCCTCATAACATTGGGACCATTTGGAACGGTGACTGTTTTATCCAGATCTTCGGTTCCCATTAAAGGTGCATTATTAACAATGTCAGTACCAGATGGTACTACTCCCCCTGTTAATGTCAACGAAGATTCCACTTTTACGTCAGTCAGAGTCGGTTGTTTGAGGCGTCACGTAACAGCAGGTACTACACTGACACATTCGTCGCTGTCAGTGCCCGTGTTGTCGGCGCATATGCCATCCTTCTTTTTACAGGCCAAAGCCAACAGGCTCATAGCCTTCTGTATTAGTATTGCCTTGTTGGCACAGCAAAACATGCAAAGCCAATGTGAGTTAGGCTTCGAGCATCTTTTGTAGTTCACACAAACACCATAAAGGCCTTTAGCAAATAAACTTGTGTAAGGAAGACCATTTTTTGGAATGACCATAATTAAAAGGCTCAGCTGACGTGAAATCGCTTTTCATCTCTACCGGCTTAGAACAATACAGATCCAGTTATTGTAAGATGAGAATGCCTGTAAAGCGTTAATAAGCAAGACTAGACATTCATACGAAAAACAATTGGTTAGGGATTCTAGATATAGTCCGAAACGGTTATTCTCGTATATAAAAAGGCGAACTAAGAGAAGCGATGGAATTCCATCACTTTTGATACGAGACAATCCGTTAATCTTAGCAGAGAATGATGCCGAAAAAGCTGAAGCTTTATCGGAATATTTTAGTAAAGTGTTTTCTATCGGTAATGAGGAACGACCAATGATTCATCGTGACCGTGACGGCTCGCTGATGGATCCTGTAGTCATTGAGAAAGATACTGTTTTAAGGCTACTTCAGCATCTCAAACCTGATAAGTCCAGTGGTCCCGATGATATTCATCCTAGGATTATGAAAGCCATATCAGATGAAATTGCTGAACCATTAGCGATACTATTCGACATGTCTCTGAGACAGTCCAGACTTCCTAGAGACTGGAAAGACGCCATAATAAGTCCGGTATATAAGGCTGGGAGTAGGGATTTAGTTAGTAACTATAGACCCGTTAGCTTAACTAGTGCAGTTGTGAAACTGATGGAGAAAATCATTCGGATAGCTGTTATAAACTATGTTGAAGGGCAAAATCTTTTCTCCAGGGCACAACATGGTTTTCGGAAAGGCCTATCTTGCTTGACAAATCTTCTCATTGCACGAGAAGAGTGGGCTGCGGCAAAGGATCGGAATGCTCCTGTGGATGTAATTTTCATAGATCTAGGTAAAGCCTTTGATAAGGTTTCACACTCTGGTCTTAAATTCAAACTGAAACGTTTTGGAATCCATAACACAGTCGTCGATTGGATAAGTAACTTTCTCCATGACAGGAGACAAAGGGTAAGGGTTAATGGGGCTCTCTCCTCGTGGGTACCTGTAAAAAGTGGGGTTCCCCAAGGCACAATCCTAGGTCCTCTTCTCTTTCTACTTTATGTAAATGAATTGCCAACTGTAGCAAAATCATCCGTTCTACTCTTCGCCGATGACATAAAGATTTGGAGACCCATACATAGTATGTCGGATAGAATAGTATTACAGGACGATCTTAGCTCATTGGTGGCATGGTTAGACAGGTGGTCACTAGAAGTAAATCCTAATAAGAGTGTGGTGATGCAGTTAAATAACTCTGATGAATCGTATGACTATACACTACGTGAATTCGTGCTACCCAAAGCAAGAAACTATAAAGACTCAGGAGTTATATTAAGCAATGATCTCAAAACGACTAGTCACTGTAAGGCTGCTGCTGCAAAAGGCTATAGGGTATTATGGTCAATTCGTAGGTCTTTTCAATATTTAGATGATGAAATGTTTGGATTACTATACCCGATTTATGTGCGACCACATTTAGAATACGGGATTCAAGCAGCGAGTCCTTGTTTCATATATGAAGCAGATATGCTAGAAAGAGTCCAACGACGAGCTACTAAGACGGTACAAGGTCTAGCTGGCCTATCTTATGAAGACAGACTGAGACACCTTAACTTATTTCCGTTATCTTACCGTAGAGTACGGGGTGATCTAATATTGGCTTATCGTATACTGAACGATGACCTTGGTATTAACATGTCTTATCTTTTGCTTCCGTCTAGAACCGATCATTTGAGAGGACATTCGAAGGAAGTTCGAAAACCTAGATCAAACCGTTTACGTCTGGAGTTCCGTTTCTCGCACCGAGTAGTGAATTACTGGAATTCTCTACCGGAACACGTAATATCAGCACCGTCTGTTAATATATTCAAAACGAGATTGGACCTCCACAGTATTACAAACTGCAAGGATTAATATAGGTCGACAGACCTCCTATCCTTATTACTGAAGACTGAACTAGTCGCTCTTATTTAGAAAGTCTAAATAAACGAGTTTTAAGCTGAAGCTTAGACATTGAGGTCCGGACGTTTTGACCGCTCAACTATCTGTGTGCAGAGTGTTGCTTGCAGCATTTTTTCCAGACAAAGCCATATCGGTCGACCGTTGTGTTTTTACAGTACCAATAAAAAAAGTTGTTTTAGCTTCCACTTATTGAGTCTGCTTGTGATCTCAGTGAGAATTCCGATTGTATTTTAAGTGTCAAATTCTATGAACGACACCCTTATTAAATTCATCACCCGAAAATCATTCAGAAGTCACACTGAGATCATAAGTGAACTCACTTAGTGGAGGCTAAAATAGCTTTTTCACTGTTATTGTAGAATCCAATGGTTGGATTTTATTTCAAAGGGATTTTAAAATCCTAATTAAGAGTTTTAGTTGTTTTGAACGTCATATTTTATTTCCTAACGATTTATTATTTACCTAATATGTCATTAAACGATCTATATAACAGGTTGATGTACTGTGTTATGATTTGGTTAGTTCTTGAAAGCTTATTATCATTTTATGGTTTTAAAACAACACTCATAAACTTGAGTCATACTTATATCTCGAAAGTAATATTCACTGCTTTAGCTACGTTTTTTAGACGGGCCATTACTCCTTCATGAATATTCTTTATCAATTCCTGGCCCGTGTATCTTTTCAAAAGTCTACAAAAGTGCTTGTTATTTCAAAGTACTATGATTTTTTTGAAGTATACATGTTTGAGAAAATAGACTTCGACTTTATTCATAATCTAAAGCATGAAATTTTGACGTGAAGTGCTCTAAAGTGTTTTCGTTATGACATAAGTTGATGTATTAACAACCCAGTTTTTATCACTTAGGTAGCCCCTGAATACCCAGCTATGGTCGAGAGTGGGAAGGGCCCACCCCTTCTCGAAATGCTCTCACATGGCCACGCGTATATAGCCTCTTCCGGAGAAGTCCTACTCACTGCCTTCTCGCGGCATTACTGTTGTTTACGAAAATGAAAGGACGAAAAGCGAATATCCGGCGCTCTAACCGGATCCCAAACCAATGGTGCACATGGGCTCCAGTATACTGAGGGAACAAATGGCGTATGAACCAATCGTTGGTCACCGACTACCATGGGACTGCATCTCCTAACGATGTTCCACTGCCTTGTGGGTCAGACCTTTAGGTCAAAGGTTCGGGGTGTGACCTCCTAAGAAAACCACCTGCTTCGGTCTGGGCACCCGGGCAGTATCACAGCCCACACACAAATAAAATGAAAATGACGATATTTACTGAAAATTCTATTCACGCTTCGATTAACAGTCAAACAATTCACATTATTATTACTACTTACAACGTCACTTATTCACTCTCTTTTATTCCTACTTTGTGTATCCCTATTTTTCCGGCTAGTACTACAATACTTGTCGAACGCACTTTCTGGAGAAGAACAGTTAACTGGTGGTAGAATTCATACTTGATTGCAGCTGGGCTGTAATCTGTCGGGGCACAGGCGGAGATGACGAAAAGACATCGTTTCTCACGCCGATCTCTTCTCACTTTGATGGGACTTTCTAATCTAACAGCACATAACCGACTGTTAATGGGGATCCAATCGATTAGTGCTGCCTCAGCTCTAGCGCTTAGTGTGACACCAACGCCAGCAAGACCAGACGAATATGCCACAGGGTCCCCGGATAAACGCACATAAAACAAGCTTTTTGAAGCGACAGATGGAGAGCGAATTTGTAGTACTTCACCAGAGTCTTCAATACGGGTCTCAAAATTTTTATTACTTCATTCTTATATTCCCTACTACTATCATTCTTATTTTTTATCAGTTATCTTGTCGATTTCCTATAGCTGTCCTGATATGTTTCGGTAATTTAGACCCAAATGTGTTAGTTCCTAGGTCGTTTATGTTTGAGTTATTCGTTTTGCCGCGGGGTTCTGATTTGTCGGAGTCCAATCAAGTTAGTTGAAAGCTATACTAAAAGTTGTTTAGAGGTTTTACAAGAATGAAAGTATTCATTACTTCGTTCTATTCAAATACCCTGTAGTCACCCTAAAACTTAGCTTAGAATTTTGATACCATTTTAATGCTCTGCAGCCTGCATTTAATCTTGTCGTGTAGTTTTATCATGAACAGCTTAGGTCATGTTTTAATGCACAGTTTTCTTTCACGTTTTAGTTGTTTTAACAAATAAAATTAAGTTTTATGAACATCTAGGAGGCGGAATGTTAACGTGTGCACCACATTCATACCGAAATATAAATGGTTCCGAATATATATGGGGATTCGAAGGAGTTCCGTTCAACTTGGTAGTCAATAGCGCCATATTCGTCGTAAGTTATGTTGCTTTAAAGCGTTCGTCAATAAAGTAACGCATAAATTAATTGACTAAAACGATTAGAGACTTGTTTTTTATTTTAGTACTGTTTGTCACGTAATGTGTGATATGTACACAATCTGAATTTATTATTTCCTGGTTCCAGGTTAGATAGCCTAGAATGGGTGTCTTGAGTGTGAAAGGTTGCAAGAATACTATTTATTAATTATGGTATTCTGTGTCTACATGATTGTTTACTGTTATTAAATCTACAGAAACAAATTGGTTCTATTTTACCCAATGTACTTGATGTTATTTATATCAACACTAATGATCATGCAATCATAATACCGTAGTATCAAGTGTTAAGATTCATTAAACTCAAGTCTAAGATTTCGTCCGTATGATCTTCAAGTTTATAAAATAACGAGTTTTTGTTAAAGAAAAAATCTACATTCGATTTCATAAATGTATATAATTTATTTCATTTATCGTAACATTATGAGGTTGCTCCTTCTATAATTGAATAAATACTATACGTGATTTAAGTTAATCAGCACCCTTAATTATTATTTTTAACTTCAATGCAAATCATCTAGTGAGTAGTTTTTCATTACATATTCATTTATGATCATATGGTCAGAAAACATGACAGGATCTTTGAAGTCCAGGTTTTTTGACGTGCCAACTAACCTTGTAAAGCAATTGTTAATTACAATGTTTTATACATTTACACCGTTAGTCTGCTGATAATAAAGTTTACCATTCAACTGCGAACACTTTTGACCACATTTTACACATCTAACTGAGGTGTCGTTAAAATCTGTTAATGGAATAACGAAGATGTAGACAATTGTTAGAATGAGCCATAAAAGGGCAAACTTTCATACATACTATTCTTAATACTAGAGAGTAGTCAATGTACTATGGAGGTGTAGGTTTAGATATTTATAATCACTTTTTGAGCTATTAAAATGATGGATAGATAGAATGCTACTCGGTACTTAGTAATTTCACGTGACCTATTGGTAACTTCATAACCGAATTAATAATGTAGGCATTCGATCGAACTGTTGTTGAAAGATAATACGATTACCTAACACAATAGATTTTTACTCTGGTATATTGCAATGGTTTATTCAAAATAAACATCATTAGGGGTCTCTTGAAACACAAACTATAGGTATAGGTTTCTGAATTCGCTCACACACCAACAATATCCAGATCAAAGCTTTAGGCTTGATTCTTGCATTTTGCATCAATATTATCGTTGTAGCTAATGTGAATGATTATGTGCCAAATCACTTAACCTTTTAGTTTATTGGCTACGACAGTCTCACGAGCTTCAACCACATAGTTTAGACTTACCAACACGACTCATTTCAATAGGCTATGACTTATTTCTGGTCAGTTGATCATATTCAAATAAGGTAAAGCAGTGCACTCTCCTGTCTAAGATTATTGGATAACTTCACCTCTGAAAAAGTGAAACCATCATTCAGTTTTCAGATTTTTTGATTACAATGCAACTAACTAGATTTCGGTAATCAGCGTGGATATTGTTTATTTGTTACACTGACTTTGTGATATTTTTTTTTTCTTCATAGATTTGTATTGGCCTGTACCTTGTATTACAAGAAATAATCGATAGAGAATTTGTCCCCAAAAGGTATATCTGTTCACAGTATGAACTTTAATGGTGCTCAACACTGAACTGGTGGAAAATCTTCTTGTTTAAACTACACACCGTTTGAGAATATCTAATGTTACTTTACGCTAATTTTTGTTTTCTTTAATGGTGAACGATTGTTCGCTAGGCTAAAGAGATGCAAATACTTTGTTAATTTACTCACACAAAATTTAAAACATCTGCTTTTCACTGTTGCCGAGCTCCAATTGGGCGTCGAATAATTATGCACACTACGATTTTAGGAGTTATGCTAGTCAAGCTCATTCTTCCATAGTTACCAAAGAGGGTTTTCATGCCTTTTATCGTCAGTATTGATCAGTTGTCGAAATCAGTAAAATGACGACACGACTAGCTTACATATCTTAGTTTACATCTCATAAAACTGATAATACTTGACCATCATCCCTAAGGACCTCTACAGTTAATTTATCAAGGTTTGATGCTCTTCTTCGTTTTACATTAGCTACAGGTGCTTCAATTCTGTGAAGAATTGGGGGTTCGACCCTAATATTCTAATGAAGCTATTCGTAGATAGTGAGTATTTGGAGAGTAGTGCGAAGTCAGTCAAAATATCTCTTGACAGGTTGGCCTGATTTTTCCAATCATCTGGTCTAAGAATAAGTCACTATTTAAGGATATTCTCACCGAAGACCATTTTTTTTACTTTCAATCTCAGACATGTTGGTAGATGCAGACTACTTGGTTGGGGTCCGCGTGACTATCATAACCAATGGTTGGAGACTCTGTGTGACATGGCTCAGAATCGATCACAATGGCGTAGGTGTATATACTCTTTGTCTTCCCTTAAACTATGAGGTTAAAATTGCTTTATATCTTTCTACCTACTAATTCTTTCTCCCTGTATTATGTCCTTATTGCAATCTTTCTTTCATATATTACCACCATTGAATTAACTACTTCTATGAATTCGGTGTTCATCTTATGCTAATGCGGTATGGCAACTTGGATCGATGCTGACTGACTGACTTCCATCTACCTTATAAGTTTAATCTTATCTGTTAGCACTTTTCATTTGTGAAGTTTCTCTAAAAGTTCACTGACTACATTTTTGTTATTATCAAACCTCAAAATATTTTGTATTAATTTCTTTTAATAAATTAGTGATTCAAACAATTAAATTTGGTATTATCATTAGGATTTTGAATTAAATCCTAAACACATTTCATATTAAGTTAAACAAAAGAAAGAAAACAACTTTAAACGTAAATATGTTGATTACATATTAGAATTTCGATAATGCAATGAGAAGACGAAGTTTATCAGAATTATGTGATATATTTGCGCAATACATTTCGAACAATCTGATCACACATATACATGTTAAGAACATTTATATATGAAAAATTAAAAGGTCAACTAGACAGGTTAAGGGTAAGTCATAACAAAGGAAAAAATATTAAAGTACACAAAAACAAATGTGATTACCACTCTGGATAGTAAATCAGTACTACCAGGGTAGGTTAAGTGTAAGGACAAATTGTTTTTTGAACACATAAAGGGTGTTTCAATTTCCGTATAGCCAAGGCTTCAATAAACCTTAGTATACATCCTTGAAGGTTTTTGTATAACACTACAAATGCTGATAAACTTCGTCTTCTCATTGCATTATCGAAATTTATCAAAGGGACTAATTGTTTTAAACATATTAGAGAATGTAATCAACATTTAATTATTTTAAAATAATAATTACATAAAAGAAAGATATAGAATTATTAAGATTATTGTTTATTAAAAACCTTAATAATAAATATCTAATGTTTGTTATGTGTGAAATAATAAAATAAGTTGCATAAAAATTACATAGCTGTACATTACATTACATTATAATCAAAACTGTATATATTCTTAAACTAATAATGATTTAAGCAATGAAATAACATGTTAATTGATTTAATGTAGAATAAGAAAATTTTGGGAATGCTCTTGTCATATTATGAATTTAATTATAATATTATTGTTTGTTGTATAAAGAAAATGTAATTTCCCTATAATCAATTCAAAATAGGTTAGAAATGGGTTAATCAAAAGAGCTTAGTGAATAAACTCTATACTTTTGCTTTATTTAAAAAAAAAAATAAATTCGAATCAAATGCTGTAAACAATCATATATTCAGATGATTTGTTTTTAAGTAACACATATTACATGAAAGTTAGTAATACTATCCAGCTAACCATGACTAAGTAAATACAATGAAGTTCAAGGTTACAACTCAGTCCCTGTAATTCATATGCTGTAACTATTAATCTATCACGATTAATACTCATATTTTCCATTCTGAACTTCTTTAATAGTTTGCATCTTAAAATGCATGTCCTTTCTGGTAAGTCTTGCGGATTGAACGTTATATTCGTTTCCTAAGCTATTCTGAAACCCCCAAGCTAGAACTATACAGCGACCTGAACAATGGGAGATTAGACGCAAATTATGCGAGAATTAGTTTACTCCAAGGTTCATTTCAATACAGAAAATATAGGTTTTTTTATAATATTTTAAATGTCCTTGGGTTGCTCGAAGATTCTGGAATGCTACTAAACATAGAAGCAGTGTAGTAATAAACTAATCAGAACCTCTGCATTCGATGTTTCACTTCCTTGATATTTTTGGCTAAAACTTCAAGTGAACGCTGATTGGAGGAAACGCTTCTTAGTGTTTCCTGATCCTTGTGTGTCTTTTGCGAGAAATTTGCCAGATCACTCCAACACTTTCGTTATGATGTATTGAAGTATTAAAACTTGAAGTAGTATATTTATGTCGGTTTTTGAAGTCATTTCATTTAGTCAAGGAAAATATGATCTCCTTGTCCATAATTTTTCTTACTTACATGTTAACTTGCTCGAATGTGTTGCATTCATGTAAGAAGTGTATCGCTTATCATATTTCTTTACTTCTAAAAACATTTTTAATAATATTTTCACTTGTATCATGTATTCATCTATTTGAGCAATGAGTTTTCGTTATATTTGATCTTTGCCATAAATATATTAATATACTAAATTATACTGTGCTTTCTTTTACAGAGATTTCCAGGACTATGTGGAAAAAACGCGTAAATCAAGATTTTGGAAATTAGTACCTTATTTTTTAAAAATCAGGTAATTTCAAATTTTGCTGGTATCTAATTTATTGTAACTTGACTTTTGTAAATTGTTACCTATCGTTGGAATAGTTACAAACAGTTAGGATAGATTCTTCATCTCGGTTTGGCTGATAACCGTCAAGGCGTATCCTTAACCTGAGATGAGCAAGGCTATTCAAAATCTATGCACAAAGTGCTCGTTTATTAAGGTTTGTTATAACAAATAAGAACATGTAGCTTGACTATGAATTCGTTTGGCTCAATTAATCACTTGTAACCGAGTAACGATTACCCACTGAAACCTGACTCTTAACTCTAAGTCCTTGCTTAGATAAATAGTTCTGAGAAGACAGAACAAGTGGTGAACGAAAATCTACTTTTTATGCAGTAAAATAGCAAACTTACAAATGACTTCATATAAGATAAATATAACTCAAGTCATTTTTAACATCAAACATTTTAAAATATGGATCTGTTAGGTTACTAACCAGTCAATGAAATTATTCCTAACTATCACCATCGATACGGATTATGCTGCTCCAAGGTTCAAACAACCAATAATAATTGTCTCACGAATGCATACTAGTAAGCCGAGACTCTGCTTGTCTCAAGCTAACAGTCTGTGATATTAAGGACTAATACTGTCTTGGATTGGGCACCTCAGGTTGTCTCGACCTACCCTTATAGTATTATTTATTTCACTCTTAAGGTGGTGTGGGAGACGTGTGACAGATTTTACAAAGACTGTGATGGATGAAAGTTCATTATTATATCAACCATATCTATCAAGATCTATACTTTTAACCTCAAAACGACTCAGTTGTGTGATGTTTTTAAGGCCAATGTGTCTTAATAACGACATACGGATATCATTAAATATCAAACCATTCAGTATCCTTTAGGTGTAGTTTAACTACTTCTAACATATCAGGTGGTTTCATATTTTTATTTCTTCCATAATACGCCTTTATTTCCATACTATTATTTTCGGCCATTTGAGTCCGTCAAACAACGTTCCTGCAAACACCATAGTTGTCTCTACTTCCAATCGACTTGGCTTCTAATGTTGGATCCACTAGCTCAACAAGTTACTATCAAACCACAAGAATCTAATCTCAAGGAATTGCTGACTTAGCTAGCAAAGGGTTAAAGGACGATCATTGCAATATTGAATAACGATCATCCAATAAGCAGAATATTATTTACAGTTGCAAAAGTTACCGTTATATCACAGAAGCTTTACTAAACAGTTAGCTACGTGTCTTCTGTGGAAACTGTTCAAGATTCTATTAGTGGTTCCAGAGGTTAGTTAAGTGGAATGAATCAGTTAATTTCTTTAATGCACTACGAAATACGTTATGTATTCCTCGATCTATGATGCTCATTGATCTAAGTGTTAAGAGTTCTTTCTGATATCTGTACTAAAATATACCGATATTTCATAAAAAGTGGTCGTTCTCAGGGTGTGTTGTAAGTTACCTATCCTGGTATTGTGGAGATTATAACTTTGTGTGCTTTTTTGTGTAATAATATGTGGTCGAAGCATTAATTTGGGAAAACGTAACGCACATAACTGTGTAATATTCTTGGGTCAAGTATCTTCTAGGGTTAGCTACAATTAAGTGTGTTGAATAGCCAAACAAGGCTAAGCAAAAAATTGTAGATGGGCTTTGAGCGATGCTGCGGTTCAGGTTTTTCATCATGAACTAACATGAGCTGCGACCCCAGAACACCATTTACCTTTACAAATGGATGAATTTCGTGCAAAAACCCAATAGATCCTATCTTAGTTTTGACCAGCTCGTTCTTGAGTTACAATTCTTCCCTGAACAACTCAGTCTCTGGTTTATTTAAATCCCCCTAAAGCAGTTACTTGCGATACTGTTATCTTTTCTTTATGAAATGTGGGTTTCTGCTTTCTCACATCATTTTTCTTACCCTGTATAAAACACTTGCTACTTTCTGTTGCTCCTCTTAAATGCTAATTTCTGTCCCACTTCCAGTGACATAGTATAATCATTTACACACAATAGCTGCTCTCTTAATACTTTGGTCGTTACTAATAGGTTTTCCTAGTGATATCAGAAAAGGTCATGATCATTATTATCAGTTTTCCAGTATTTAGTGTAACTGCACTCGAATTGAAAGTTTCTCATTGTATAGACAAGCTGTATCAATGTCATAGATCTACATAATGCGACTATTATTATTATTATTATTACTATTATTATTATTATTATTATTATTATTATTATTATTATTATTATTTTCCGATATATTATTTTGCAAATGTCTGATTTATTGTTCAATCACCGAGAAATTCTGTAGTTTTATCATCTTATTATTCTCTGGAACCCATCACAAACTTTCATCTTTGATCGATGAAATTTAAGTACATATCTGTTTGTTTGTTTACCAATAATTCCATGTTAAATGATTAGAAATTCAGTTAACTAAATCATAGTGTTCAGTAGATTCCAAAGTAACTCGAGTGACTTTATTTCCCATAGGGCATGCAAAATATTCATGTATATATATTAGATATGAGTTGACTACCCATTGATAACTATTTTCCAGCATCATGCCTCTTCCTAATCAGTCTATTTATGATATAGGACTGAGTACACAATGCTAACATACGGACAGTAGTAATTTCTTTTTGACTGGTGTCATTATTATCTTTTGATTTAATACGCCTAACTAACAAGTTTCAGCATGTAAACATCTTATCCGACTACTTCTTAGACTAAGAATTAATTGAATAGAATAAACTTACATATGAATCAGACGCCACCCATACTTTTAATATAGTCTATTAATAACTCTGTTGTATGGGACAGTCTTATTATAAGCATTCATTGTTTATATTTGGTTACAAATATACGTTCCTTAAAGTTTTAAGCTAATAACTTTTGGATTCATTGTTCCTTTCGACACTAGTGAGCTAAGAATATCCTTATCTATAGTCTACCAAAGAAAGGCGATCTCAGCAAGTGTGAAGACTACAGAGGCATTACTCTTCTCTCATTTAGTCACTTAGTGACCACACAAAGCGTTCCCTCTTCAAGCTCAAACCAATGCACTACCGTTCATGGTTGTCCGAAGGTAAATAAAAATAAAAAATTATTGAAAACCTTGACGGTTCCGGTTATTCATTCTTTCGTCCACAAAACCAAATGTCCTGACCACAAGTGAGTTGAGATTAGAAATTTGTGCAGAGAAAAACCAATCTGTCACATCAAGCTCGGTTTCTGAGTTCATAGACGACATTTCCAAACCTTTTTTGTTATCATGCTCATAACTGCTCTGGGATTATCTTAGCTCTTATTAATGTGTTCGTTTTTTGACATTTGTCAAGTGAATAGTAATCTTTTAGATTTCTCTTCTGTATATTGCTCTGACTTAGCTACTTTTCATAATTCACTAAACAATCGGCAGACCACTTTAAGCAACTGGCCTTTATCTCTTCCTGTTGCTCACTACTCTGGTAAACCAGAGTGAGAGGTTGGGATTAGCCCATCAACTCTTAGGGAGGTTAAAAGGTCTATTGCTAGTCTAAAGCGAGGGAAAACAAAAAGGTCTAATCGAATAACTCTAGGTTTCTTTCAGAATGATGGTCCGGTCTCTGCTCTTAAACTGACTGAAATATTAACTAAAATCTGGGGATTGGAGGTTATCTTATCTGACTGGTCTCGATCTCTGATCCTCCCAGTTTATATGGAAAGACAGAAATTCTCTTGTGACAATCACAAAGTAATCAGTTTGACTAATATAGTGTTTAAAATACTATCCCCTATAGTCATCTAACGCTTATCTAGGGGTTGTGAATAGCGAACCCGAGGAAACTAGACTACTTTAAGACCTGAACATGAATGCATTAACTAAATAACTATTTATCGTTAGGGCTTACAGCATAGGCATACTTACCGACTCCCGACCATTGATGTATTCCTTGACCTCGAGGTAGCACTCAACTGTGTTGACCGAAAGATTTTATGTAAGTGTTCGCCATTAGAAGGCCCACCAAAAAAGTACATCAACTTTATACAAGATTTTTACTCGAACACTATTAGTCGAGTTACAACTTATGACCAACTGTTATTGGAATTGTCAACCTGACTTGGCGTTTGTCATGGGTTTTTCTCTTCCCCTTTTCTTATCTAACTTTGTCGTAGATATTCTCGTAGAGATTGAGCTCTCGTTTACTTTTTTTCAGGATTTTATCTGGCAGGAGATCAACTTGTTGACCTACGATATGCAGACAGAAATGTTCTGTTTGGTAAAGATGCTGGCAAAATGCAGTCTCCTGACCCCCTTAAGCAACTATGCAAGCATGGTTGGGGTGCATTTCTCTCCATGTAAATGCAAATTGTTGCTTCAGGACTGATCCGCGTCAGCATTTGAACTAATGATAGAGAGGTAGTTGTGCTTGTTGGTCATTTCATTTATTTTGGGATTGTGATCAGTCTTGATAGCCTAGTGTCTGACGAAATCTCGGCATGTATTCAGTAAGCTCGTTTGGCGTTTACTGGTTTGCGTCACTTGTGATATGTCCGTCTATCAAACAGTGTGTGCTGCTCAGCAGTCCCCTCTCTTCTGCTTTACGGATGTCAAACACTGCCATCAAGAAATGAGGATATTCATTGGTTACTCGTATTCGATCATAGGTGGTTTCGAAGCCTTGTTCGCATATTGTGAAAGTAACGACTGGGCGCTGTCTAAGCGGTATATAGAGTACTGGGTAAATGTAGCAAATTGGTTCATAAGGTAAGGAATCTTCATCTACAGAGATGGTTCGAACATGCATTATGCATGCTATTCCACTGACTAATTCGAAGCCTGATGGTAGGTGTAAAGATAAGTTGGAAGAAAGCTGGGGAGGGGTATCAAACCAAAATATGACATCAGTCTATAAAGACACTGACTGTTGACCTGAGTCATTCAGTTAGTTGTAGACTGTCTAGTTAAGGTCTGGATAATCATCTTATTTAGTTGTTGGTAACATTGGTTGATATG